GGGGGGGGGGGAAAGCCAGCAGTCTCCCCTGGCTTTCCTTACAGCAGTTTTCAGCGGGCTCAACTCTATTTTGGGGACATCAGGGCGCGAAGCCTCCGGGGAGCCCTCCGTGCCTGGGCCAGGCGCTTCCTCTCTGCCTCCCACAGGGCCTAGGCCGCAGGGGTAGGCCACCTTGGCTCTTTCATGACTCGGGGACTTCAACTCCCAGAATTCCTGAGCCAGCGCAGCTGGCTCAGGAATTCTGGGAGTTGAAGTCCCCGAGTCATAAAAGAGCCAAGGTGGCCTACCCCTGGCCTAGGGGAAATCCCGCAGGCCAGCATCCCAGGCCGCCGCCTGCTCTCTCGCTTGGCACGGCTCCCGGGCCCCCAGAGCACAGGAGGCGGCGGCGACGACCACCCCAGCCCGAGGGACCCCAGCGGAGCGCCCGGGGGGCTTCAGAGGCCCAAAGGCGGCCCGCGACGGAGGGCAAAGCGGAAAGCCGGCCGGCCAGCCAGCCGGCGGGACCCAACGATCTCTCCCAGCGCCCGGCTCTCCCCACCTCCACCCCCGGCCCGGCGGAAGGCGGGCCTCGGCGCCGCTGCCTCCCAGCGGCCCGCCCTGCCCGATGCCGCTTCTCCCAGCCGAGGGCGGCCCGGCAGCCGGAGAGGGCGGCCCGCTGGCCCGAAGGGAGGAGCCGCTGCCCAGCATTGCGGGGTGGCGGGGCGGGCTCGCTTGGCAAGAGGGGGCGCTCTCGGGCCCGCCAGCCAGCCTCCCTCCACCAGTACGGGGCAGGGCGAGGCGGGGCGCCGGGCGGGCCGCCTTGTGGGTGGAGGCGCTGAAATAGAGGCGGGCGGGCACGCGCCCCGGGTCCGCCAGGAGGGAGGTCTCGGCCAGGTAGAGGAGCCCGATGCGCGGCGGCGGCGGTAGCAGCAGCAGCCAAGGCAGCCGCAGCAGCAGCAGGAGGCGGAGGCGGAGGGCGTGAGCCTCGCAGGGCGGGCCAGGCGCCTTCTTCCCGCAGAGCTGCCGTTGCCCGATGGCTACCCGGGTGTTGAGCATGAGCGCTCGCCTGGGGCCCGAGGAGCCCGTCTTCGCGCAGCTCAAGCCGGTGCTGGGCGGCCGGGAAGGGCCCATCTTCGCCCCGCCGGCTCCAGAAGAGCTCAAGCCGCCGCAGCCGCCCGGCGCCGCCCGGATGCCCGGCGAGGAGATGGTGCAGGTGAGCGAAGCGCCCGCGCGTGGGGACTAGCGGCGGACAGCGGCGGCGGCTCTGGGACAGACTTCCCCGGGGCATGGGCAAAGGGCGGGTGGCGGCCCCGGCGGCTGGGCTGCTTGGGTGTGTCCTGGCCTCGGCCGAGCTCCGGCGGGTGCTGGGTGGGGCAGGCGGGCGAGCGGAAAGGAAAGTGAAGGAAAGGGCAGGGAAGGGAAGGGGGGGGGGGGAGAAAAGGAAAGAAGGAAAGGAAAAGAAAACGAAGTGAAGGAAAGGACGGAAGGGAAGAGAAGGACAGGTTAGGGAAGGGAAGGGAAGGGAAAGGAGAAAAGGAAAGAAGGAAAGGAAAAGAAAACGAAGTGAAGGAAAGGACAGGGAAGAGAAGTACAGGTTAGGGAAGGGAGGGGAGAAAAGGAAAGAAGGAAAGGAAAGGAAAAGAAAACGAAGTGAAGGAAAGGACAGGGAAGAGAAGGACAGGTTAGGGAAGGGAGGGGAGAAAAGGAAAGAAGGAAAGGAAAGGAAAAGAAAACAAAGTGAAGGAAAGGACAGGGAAGGGAAGAGAAGGACAGGTTAGGGAAGGGAAGGGAAGGGAGGAAAGGAAAGAAGGAAAGGAAAAGAAAACGAAGTGAAGGAAAGGACAGGGAAGAGAAGGACAGGTTAGGGAAGGGAAGGGAGGAAAGGAAAGAAGGAAAGGAAAAGAAAACGAAGTGAAGGAAAGGACAGGGAAGAGAAGGACAGGTTAGGGAAGGGAAGGGAGGAAAGGAAAGAAGGAAAGGAAAAGAAAACGAAGTGAAGGAAAGGAAAGTGAAGTGAAGGAAAGGACAGGTTAGGTTAGGGAAAGGAAGGGAGAAAAGGAAAGAAGGAAAGGAAAAGAAAACGAAGTGAAGGAAAGGACAGGGAAGAGAAGGACAGGTTAGGGAAGGGAAGGGAGGAAAGGAAAGAAGGAAAGGAAAAGAAAACGAAGTGAAGGAAAGGAAAGTGAAGTGAAGGAAAGGACAGGTTAGGTTAGGGAAAGGAAGGGAGAAAAGGAAAGAAGGAAAGGAAAAGTGCTGGCCCATCCGGAGCGCCCCGGTCTCCCGTGGGTACAGGGGGCTCGGTCCGCTTTCCAGGGGCCTGTCCCGGTAAGGGGCTCTGCAGGGGCCCCACCCGCTTGGGCAACCGTTGTGCCGGCCGCTCTTCCCGAGGATAGCCGGACGGGGCTTTCCGTCTGTCCCCCCCCCTCTTGCCTTTCGGACCTGCGGGCACCTTTCCAGCGCGGCCGGGCTCCGCGGCTCCTCTTTCCGCACGTGGCCGGGCGGGCGGGCGGGCCGGGTTTCCCCCGGGCCCGGGGCCGGGTGCCTGCGCTGGCTTTCCCCGGCGCGCTGCCCCTCCCTTGCGGCGGCCGCGGGCGGGCGGGGAGAGCGGCAGCTGCCACCTTGTGCCCGGCCTGGCTAAAACCAGGCGGAGCGGCCCGCGCTCGCTCGCTCGCTCGCCCACGCAGTCATTTTAGACGGGCCCGGGGGGGGGGGGCCCAGCTCGGGCGGCTGCCCTTTTTGGGAACAGCTGGCCAGGCTAAAGTGGGAAAGCCGCAGGAGCCGCCAGGGAGGCCGGCTCCCACTCTCGGGGCGCCCGTGGGGAAAGCTTCCCTCGGCTTTTTCCTGGAGTGGATGAAACGGATGGAAAAGTCGGTGGGTCCCTAACGCTGGGAAGCCGAGTGCTGGCTTTGCCCACGGCTTTGCTTGGACACCCCCTGCCCCCCTACGGAGGCATAGGGCAGGGGTAGGCCACCTTGGCTCTTTTATGACTCGGGGACTTCAACTCCCAGAATTCCTGAGCCAGCGCAGCTGGCTCAGGAATTCTGGGAGTTGAAGTCCCCGAGTCATAAAAGAGCCAAGGTGGCCTACCCCTGGACTATAGGGAGAATCGGGCTCAGGGAGGGAGGGGGGAGACTTTCTTCTTCTCTCCTCCCCCCCCATAAAAAACACCCCCAAACCCCAACAAGCACAGCAGCTCCGCTGTGGTGTAAATGAGAGCGGCGGAAAGGCCGCGGATAAACCGCGGCCGGTCTCAGTTCTGACAGGCGGGCGGGCGAGCAGGTTGAGGGGGTGGGGGGGAAGCAGGCTTGGGAAAACCGCGAGGAAAAGCCCTTTTCTCAGGCCTGGCCCGGCTGTGACCCGGAGGGGATGCGGGCTTCCTTCCCGAGGGTGTTGAGGGCAGACGTGGGGAGGGTCGTCCCGCGGCGCGCGATCCCTGCTTGGCCGGGCGCGGGTCGCGGGGCTGTCCTGGGAATCCCCTGGATCCGCGCAGGGTCGTGGAAGGGGGGTCTCCGAGAGCAGGCATCTTCCTGGGGGACAACGAGTGAGAGAGGTGTGTGTCTGTCTGTCTGTCTGTGTGTGTGTGAGAGAGAGAGAGAGAATGAATGTAGAAATGGCTGAAATCCGCTGTCTCTGAAGCCTCCTGGTCAGGTCAGGTCAGGTCAGGTCAGGTCAAGCTTTAGGATCGCTTCCACCCCTGCGCGTGCCCTCTCTGGAAGTTGACCCCCAAGCCCGCAAGTCTGAGAGGGAAGGCCTGCGAAAAGGGGCCTTCCAGTCTATTCCGGTGGGTGGGAAACTTTCTCGGAGAACCTCACACCCGGGGACCCGCCCTGGGGTAAAGCGAAAGCCTCCAGAAGATCTTGGTGGCTTGGGGCAAGGTCTTTAGTTCTCTCAAACCCCAAAGTGTTTAGAGACTCTTAAGTCGCTTGTTTCACAAGAGATTTTCACACCCTAGCTGCTTGCGTGTCCTGTCCTCCCCGTGGGAAATTGTTGTGATCTTCTCTGTAAGACACCCTCCCCCCCATAAAAAGTTACACAAAAGTAGCCCTACAATTTCCTATTTGATTTTTATTTCTTCTTTCCTTCTCAGCTTTTTTTTTTTTTTTGGAAATGCGTTTGAATGTTAGTAGCTCGGGTTGGTAGTTCGATGTTGGTTTGAGTTCCGAGCTTTGAATTCTCCTCCAATGTGACCAAACATCTGCAACCAAATTGCCAAGCTCGGAACTCAAACCAACAACCCATAAACCTTTTTTGCCTGCCTGCCTGCCTGCCTGCCTGCCTGCCTGCCTGCCTGCCTGCTATCTATCTATCTATCTATCTATCTATCTATCTATCTATCTATCTATCTATCTATCTATCTATCTATCATCTATCTATCTATCTATCTATCTATCTATCTATCTACCTACCTACCTACCTACCTACCTACCTACCTACCTACCTAAGAGGGGGGGGGAGACAGCCTTAATGGCTTAAGATGCCAAAGAGTCCAAGCCAGCAAAGTGTCTGCATTCTTGGAAGCCTTGATTAAAAAAAAAAAAGATCCTCTAGATGAAATGTAGAAAATGGCATGCGGTGCTTTTTCATAACTAAAGGCTTTGCCACCCAGTTGTATCACTTGCTATAATTAGCCTTCCAAGATAATGTATCCAATAGTTTAATTTTCGCTTTTGATTCTTGTACCAAACGGCTTTAAATAGTTATTCTTACAGTATATGCCTCTTCTTGAAGGTGTAGTCGGGTAGGAAGGTGAAGCATGTGTCTGTCAACGTGAGGTCCTCCTATCGTTCTACTTGCTTTTCTTAAAATAACTCAGTAAAAACTTTCTGTTTGGACTGGACGAAGGACCTGCTTTTTTTGAGGAATGTTCTTGCAAACTTAACTCAAGACCTGAACAATTCCCGAAAGTGAGTCCTGCTGGTGAATTTGAATTTTAATCTCTGTTCCTGCTCAGGCCGCTATGTGTTCAAGGTAGAGGCATCTCAGGAATAGACGGGGGTTTCTTCGACTAGCCTCTGGGTGAATTTCCCCCCCCCATTCTTTGCACTTCTGGATCATGAAGACTGTCTCCTGGATTAAATTTGAAGGTGGCTTTTCCAGGGTGTGGTATAATTTGTAAGAAATCTCATCCCGGGCTCGATTTTTTTGTAAAAATGTGTTAAGGTTCGTAACGATTCCAGGCGGTAAGCTTATCTCGTTCTCTTTCTCTTTGTTTCTCTTTTTGGCTGATTTCGTTCTCATCCAGACCCGATGCGAGATGGAGAAATATTTGACCCCCCAGCTTCCTCCCATGCCCTCCCTCTCCGAGCACAAAAAGTACCGGCGGGACAGTGCCTCGGTGGTGGATCAGTTCTTCACCAACGGTGACGGGGTGCCTTACAGCGTCAACATGAACCTCTACCTGCCGGACCTGTCCCAGCTGAGGACGGGCCTTTTCAAGGCCCCCAGGGGCCCCGCGACCCACATCAAGACGGAGCCGGTCGGTGCCTTCAACCACCAGAGTGAGGCAGCTCCTGTGGCCCCCAACTCTGCCCAGGCGCTCCCCGAGTTTACGAGCATCTTCAGCCCCCACCAGGCGCCGGACGTGAACAGCCTCTTCATCAAGCAGGAGATGTCTGCCGTCGATCTGTGCCTCTCTGTGCCTCCGCCCCAGCAGGGCCAACTGTACCAGCTCCTCAGCTCTCCTGATTTAGACCTGCCAAATGCAGCGGGCATGGACTCCCTTAGCAACGTCTCCCTGTCTTCCTCCATGACAGGCCTGAACACCCTCTCTCCAGCCATGTCCCAGACCCCCATGAAACCGTTCCACGGGGTTCCTCCCTGCACGTACGCTATGCCCAGCCAGTTTCTGCAGCAGCCAGCCACCTACTTCCCCCCTTCACCCCCAAGTTCAGAGCCTGGGAGCCCCGACCGGCAGGTGGAAATGATGCAGAATTTAACCCCGCCTCCGTCTTACGCGGCCACCATCGCTTCCAAGTTGGCCATCCACAACCCAACCTTGACCGCCAGCCTCCCCATGAATTCGCCCAGCATCCCGACCGTCAGATATAATCGGAGGAGTAACCCCGACTTGGAGAAGAGACGGATTCATTACTGTGACTACCCTGGTAAGCTTGAGGAAGGGGAACAGAACAAATTCTCCCAAGGAAACAGGCCTCTTAGGTAGCTAGCTTTTCCTTCCGGAAACTCTTCCAAATGTTTTCTTTCTTTTCTGCAACATGGCGGCTGATCTGTCCTCACCGAGCATTTTGCGTGTTGTTTCGAAAAGAAGAAAATGTTTAATTAAAAACAATGCACCTTAAGCATAGGCAAGGTTTGAATGTAAATGGAAGCCAACGTCATAAGCCAGCATTCCACACCTCACATCTGAACAATTCACATGAGCTTGTTGGCTGAGAATGATGGGAAGTGTAGTTCACTCGCTAAGTTGGAGAAGACTAACAGTCGTAGCGACTTGAAGTCGTAGCTACTTTTTCTTCATGTTTTTTGAGCCCTGCCAGCAGCATTTTCCCTGATTTAACTAGAAACAGGTTGAAATAAAGGGTGAATGTTTTCCCAGGTAGATAGCAGATTCTGTTAATAATAATAATAATATAAAGTTGGAAGGGACCTTGGAGGTCATCAAGTCCAACCCCCTGCTCAGGCAGGTAATCCTATACTATTTTGTTACGTGTTAATAACTGATTTTGCTGTTGAACACACAGCTTATAAGAGAAGTGGATAAAATGTGAGATGCATAATTATGGGAACTAGAAGATTCTTGATTGATTAATTCAACTTGCACGTTTAGGATGGTAAATGTACTGAGTTGAAAATGTAGGTGTGGTTGATTGTGACTTGTGTGTATCACTAGCAACTCCCTTTTTGCTCTGGGCAAAAGCTAGACATTGGAATAAATTTCTTAAATATATTAGGGCCACCAATTAGAACTATCAGAAGCATTGCAGCTTTTGGGTGATTGTTACTGTTTTCTAGCCATTAAATGCACTTGACCCTTAATGTCTCTTTCTGATTTTCTATCTTAGGTTGCACTAAAGTGTACACGAAATCGTCCCATTTAAAAGCACACCTGCGAACTCACACTGGTATGTGTTGTTGTTGGTTTTTTTTTTTTTGCTTGTTATGATTTTACTATAAGTATAAATTAGCCATCCTGTTTTTCTCTGCTCTGCTTGAAAAGGTTTAACTTGATTTGCTTGAAACGGAAGAGTTATAAATCAGTCACGCCGGTTACTAAAATGAAGAAGGACACTTTTAAAGCTTTAGAAAATAAAGAGGGTGAATTTGAACAGTGAATAAATACCCTCTTTGAAGCTCTATTACTTTCCACTCACCCTCCTCCACCCCAGCCCTTTCCAGCTGAATTATGCTGCCATTTAATGCGTGCTGTCATTTTTTTTTGATGGAATCTCTGTGCATCAAACCTTAGTTTAGCTCCATTAAAACCATGATCGTGACACATGCTTGGGGTTACGCTGCAAATCTCAAAGGCCCTTATTCCCTATTCATTTCATAAAATATACTGTATATTTTAAAAAAAGTTGATTTCCTGCCCAACAGCCTGCCTTCTTCTGCCTTCGGCTCAGCGGGAAGGCCTACATCAAATTAAATAAATGATAAACATTTGTTGAAGTTCCGTTCCACGATAAACTCGGCTTTCTTTCTCGAGCTGAATGAGCAGACTTAGCATGCGATAAACTTGATAAATCTGGTCTGAGATTGCATGTACTGTTGACCAGGTGTTGTCAGCTGGAAACTTAGCAGTTGTCTCCTCGTGAAGGTTTGGTGGAGGTTCATAAAGCCAGGCTGTGTGGCCAGTTGATTCTGCATATATGGGTTTTTCAGGGGTTATTGAGTCAGTCTGTATAGGATAAAACACTTTTCAAAATAGATTACCATTTGGTGGTTCTTTTGTGTGGAAAACAAACCTGAGTCAGCCTTGAAATATGAGGTCAGATCGACCAGCAGGAGAAGCGTCTGTCAGCTAAACGGTTCAGCACAGATTTGATATAACAGCTAAAATCATCTAAAAAGCGTTAAAACCTTTTGAGCGACAACCCTGAAATTTTGTTTCGGTGGCAAAGCAATTTTGAGTTGTCAGAATGGCTTGGTTGCTGCGGTTTATGAAATGTTGGGTTTGCAGTTGAAATGGCTCCCTTCACCCTCCTTGTTAAGAGCTGAATCTGATTTTTAAATGGGGGAAAAAAAATGATCTGAGTCTGGCTTCGTCTGTGGAACAAGGGCCCGTATTCAACGTTTGCTCATTGTGGAATGACTGAAATATCTCCGGGCAAAAAGAGTTACTATGGAAATCAAGTTTTGATAAACGAAGCCCGTTCTTTCTCAAAAGAACCAAAGCAGAGAGAAAAGGTTAACAGCAACAGTCATAAAGCAAGTTTTCCTAATGGTTGGCAAAAGTTGCCGAGCCTCAATTCTCACCCGGGATGGGAAATTTTACTCATCTAGGCTTCCCTGTCTTTGCTGAGTAGTTTCAGGGGATGGCTGTTGAAAATTTGGGATTATTCATCCTCCGACAACTCAAAACTTGCTGTGCCATCAGGTTCCTCAAGTTGAATAATCCCAAATATATATTCAGGTTGAATAATCCTCAGGTATTCCCCCCCCCCCCAAGCCTAGACTTCTGGGGACACCCAGCGAAACACAAAGCGGTCTTGTTGTTCCTTGGCACCGTCTTACTTGCTTGGGCTTAGCGTGGCTTGCAGCCGAGGCCAGTCTGAGTTCAACAAACCATAGTTTGTTTGTTTGTTTGTTTATACAATGTATTGGCTGCCCACCACAGGGCAACTTCTGGGCGTCTTACAATGTTTATGGTTCAAAAGTACCAAAGTCACCGATCTGTGTGGGCTGTTCATTCTGGTCTCACCCGAGTCGTCCAAGAGAAATCTTTTTCTTCCCGTTACGCCCCAACGAACAACTTCCGTCAATGTGGAAGGAGGACTCTCTCTGAAAAAAAATGGGAGAGCGAAGGTACCTCGGGCTTCTGTTTAACTGGCCTTAGGCAAGGAGCAGCTGTACCTGGGCTGCTTTGCTTGCTGGAGGCTTCTAGAATTTGAGAAAGATTGTGCCCAACAACAGGGCTGAAACTACAATCTTTGCCACCGTGCCAGAATTACATGTGGGAAACTTACACGTCTCTCGTTTTTTGCCCGACTGCAGGTCCCTCCATCTCTCACCCCGAGCCCTGTGGTTTTGGGAACAGGAACGATTTCATAATAGGCATGCCCGGAACCAAAAGCTTCTACAAGTGTTTCCTTACCCGTGGTTACTATAAATATTTGGGTGCAAAACGTAGTAACGTTTTTCTAAACTCGAAAAAGTTGTGTAATGCGCTCTAGAAAACCTTGTTTGAAGAGTTGGCTAAAAATAAATAAAAGGGTTGGGTTGTTTGGGCAGCCTGGTAGTAGACTAACTGTTGGAATGTTAAAATGCCTTATTTCCCCCCGCGATTTGTTTTAAATCATGCATTAATTTTAAAAGAACAGATAGTCCAGGGTTAGGCAACCTTGGCTCTTTTCTGACTCGTGGACTCCAACTCCCAGAATTCCTGAGCCAGCATGGCTCAGCTTGGAAACCTCTCCCTTTCCCCTCAGCATGGCTGGCTCAGGAATTCTGGGAGTTGAAGTCCACGAGTCAGAAAAGAGCTAAGGTTGCCTACCCCTGAGATAGTCCTTGAGTTATGGCCATCGTAGGGATTGGAAAATCGGTTGTTAAGTGGTACAGCGATTACGTAAAGGCATCGCGTACATTTTTGCACCTGATTTTGCAGCCTTTTTTGCTGTGGTTTTTGAACAAAACACCGCAGTCATTAAATAAGACATCTCATTGACATTTGCCATGCCAGACGATGGCTGGGAAAGTTGCAAATGATGATCACTGGATGTTGCAACCGTCATAAACAGATGCCAGTTGCCAAACATCGTAAGAGAACGTTGTGATGGTTGCCAATGCAAGGACGGGCTGTAAAAAAAAGACTCCTCGGTGCCATCGTAACTTCAAAGGCTCGCTAAACAAATAGTCATAATTCGAGGACTATCTGTAACCCGAAACAGACATGTTCAATTCCAGAAGAAAGCTACGACTAAGCTGATACTTTGTGTAAAAAACGTATTTCGTTCAAGTCTGGCTTTTAAAAAGTAAGCCATAGTCTCTCTCTTCTTTTCTTTTTTTTCCCACATCTAGTCCAATAAGCCAAACATTTTGATTTGCAAATTATTACGGCTCTGTAGACTCTACGCCCAAATCCACCTGCACTATAGGTTAGATATGTGTGAATCCTGCCTCTTTTGCTTTATAGTTTTTGTGTTCAGGGTGTGGTTGCAGCAGCGATAATTTGCATAGTCCTGCTCTCACTGACCTGGGCTTTTGATGGCAATGATAGATTTAATAAAAGAGAATATTTGTAGCTCAAGGTTGAAATAAGGGCTCCCGGATGCTCTCTGAGCTTGGTTGTTGTCTTGCAGACATTTCATTACCAAACTAGGTAACATCGTCAGCGTTAGTGCTAGTACTGATGAGGATCTTATCTTGTTTGGATAATGAAACATCTGCAAGAAAAACAACCAATCTCGGAGAGCACCAAGGACCCTCCCCCCCCCCAGTGATAAAAATCTGTTTGCCCAAATGCACTGCCATTCCCAAGGTCCCCATGGCTGAAATTATCAGTGGAGAATATCATGCAGGAAAGGGTGTTTTCTAGGGGAGAAATCTGAGCTTTCAAAATAAAGCTTGGTTTAACCGATTCTACCCAAATGCCAATTTGTCCGGCATACTTGCTTGGCTTAACTCATTTTTTTTTCTTTTCTTTCTTAAACAGGGTTCTTAATGAACCCTGCAACTTGAAAGCTTTAATAAATGTAGGTCATGAAACGCAGGTTATTAAAGTTTTGTGTGATACTCTTTCCAATCTCCCCGAGGGCTTTCGCAAACCTGTTTAGCCGGCTCAACTTGTTCTGTAGTATCTGTGGAGGTCCATGGGTAGTTCTCGGTCTTCCGAACAATTCCTCTTAAACCTACTGTTATCCGCCCTTCTTGGCAATCTGTCATTTGGGTTCTTTTTTCTTTTCTTTTCTTTTTAAGAAAAAAAAAAAAAAGAATTAAGTCCGCAGCCGCCACTGAAGACGTGTTTGGAAGTTGAAATGGAAAGTGTGCTGCCTTCTTTGTATTAGAAATCCTGGCCCCTCTCATGCTATTTATTTAGGAACCTGTCTCCACCTGAATAGCATTCAGGGACTTTAATGGCATTCCTTTGCGTGAAGAAAGGCTGACGGGCCCGAGCGGTGGGGTGGAGTTGGGGAGCAGGCGGGCAAGGCGACGGGGGGGGGGGGCTGCAGAATCTGGGGACCTGGCAGGTTGGCACCTTGCTTGGCTGGGGGGTGGTGGTGGTGGCAAGGACAGGCTTTGAGATGGCAGCCTCCTGTGTCGAGGCAGCAGGACTGCAGATGTCGGCAACTGGTTTCTGTTTCTGCTCCTCACAGACTTAAGCTCCTGGGTGTAGCAACTAGTGCCTTATCTTCAGCCTGTGAAAAGCATAATAATAATAATAATAATAATAATAATAATAATAATAATAATAATAATAATAATAGTAGTAGTAGTAGTAGTAGTAGTAGTAGTAGTAGTAGTAGTAGTAGTAGTTAGTAGTAGTAGTAGCAGCAGCAGCAACAAGAACTGGTGGGATCATAAAATAGAGAAAGTCATAGAAAATGATAAAGTTAAACTGCTCTGGGACTTCAGAATTCAAACAGACAAGCACCTGCAACATAACACCCCGGACTTAACAATTGTCGATAAGAAAGACAAAAAAGTCTGGATAGTGGACGTGGTAATGCCTGGAGAGAGCAGAATAGATGAGAAAGAACTGGAGAAGATAACAAAATACAAAGACCTACAAATAGAAATAGAAAGACTGTGGCAAAGGCAAGCAAGGGTAGTACCAATAGTAATAGGCGCCTTGGGTGCAATCCCAAAACAACTGGAGCACCACTTGAACACCATTGGCATTGACAAATTTGCCATTAGTCAATTGCAAAAGGCAGCCTTACTAGGAACTGCTTCCATCCTGCGACGATATCTCTAACACCATCAAACATCCACATCTGCCTATCCCAGGTCCTTGGTAAGGACTCGATAGGTAGACAAAAATGCCAAATCCAGTCTGAACATCTGGCTGACTGTGCAATTATTCTTATTCTTATTCTTAATAATAATAATAAAAAATTGGAAGGCCTATTTCAACCAATGAATAGAGCTGGAAGGGATCTTGGAAGTCATCTAGTCCAACCCCCTGCTCAGGCAGGAAACCCTATACCATTTCAGACAAATGGCTGTCCAGTCTCTTCTTAAAAACTTCCAGTGTTGGAGCATTCACAACTTCTGGAGGCAGGTTGTTCCACTGATTAATTGTTCTAACTGTCAGGAAATTCCTCCTTAGTTCTAGGTTGCTTCTCTCTTTCTCTCTTTGCTTCTTGTCCTGCCTTCAGGTGCTTTGGAGAATAGCTTGACTTCCTCTTCTTTGGGGTAGCCCCTGAGATATTGGGATACTGCTATATCATGTCACACCTCGTCCTTCTTTTTGTTAAACTAGACATACCCAATTCCAGCAACCCTTCCTTGTATGTTTTAGCCTCCAGTTCCCTGACGTAACTTCATTCCGATTCTTCGGCCCTCTAGGAGAAGGGATTACATCTCCCCTCATCCTCAGCCAGCAGAATTATGGCGGCTGGAGGGTGACGGGCATCCATCAGCATCTCTGAGAAAGGGCTCCAGACTGGGAAGGGCTGAATAAGAAATTTGGTTTTGGAATCCGGTCACCAGAGAAGGAAGTTGAATTTTGGCAGCATCTTGAGTGGGGCTGTTTGGGAACCTATGGTGTGTTTCTAAAAAGTGATTCCACTGGAGCAAACACATTTTCTTGTCCAAAAACTGGTCTCTTTACCTAAGGCAATGGAGGGTAAGAGCTATGGCTTCACCCTGGCTCAGAACTAGCAGGGCTTGGCCAGATGCAGAAGTGACCCAGAGTTGTGGTTTGTTTAACCCTGGTTTGCAGTCAGACTTCCTTGAATCCCTTACAAGCTAAGATAAAGCCTAGGCCAGGGGTAGGCAACCTTGGCTCTTTTATGACTCGTGGACTTCAACTCCCAGAATTCCTGAGCCAGCATGGCTCAGCTTGGAAACCTCTCCCTTTCCCCTCAGCGTGGCTGGCTCAGGAATTCTGGGAGTTGAAGTCCACGAGTCATCAAAGGGCCGAGTTTGAAGACCCCTAATGTAAAGTGTCTCTGATTGATGCACCAGTGTTGATTTTTTTGGAGGTGGCTAGCACCCTTTCAAGAAAACTATAGTGGATCTTGAGCAGAAACAATGTGGTCAAGATCATAGTTTATTAGCTTGATTTTAAAACCGATCCAAGATCTTAAGACAGGTCCACTTTTTTTTTCCCCTCTTGGGTCCTCACAGATTAAACCGCCAAGGTTCCAGGGGCTACCAAGTTAAGCAACAAGTTAAACCTGGTTAATTTTTAATCCACGTTTGCGGGCTTTAAAAGCCTTATATACCTCCTTCAGTTGCTAAGTAGCTTTGTTGAACTGAGATGATTGCAGGAGATTTTTATGAGTAAGATGCTTGAATTCATGAGCTAAATGCAAGGGTGAATTTAAATACTGTCCAGTGTTGGTGGGCTGGTTTTGAAATCTGGGTCATTCTGCTTTCTTTGATAATGTCTGATGAATGTTAGCCTTTCTGCTCTTAGTCATCTCTGGGATGTCCCGTGTTCAAAGGAGTTGCAGATGAATTAGTTTGGACCTTGTTGGAAATCCATTCCTCCTTGTTTGTTATCAATTCTTTCCTTGCCCTGAGATTTATTTCCAGACCCCTACAAAGAAGGGGGGAGCCAGACCCACTGAGCTATGAGGGAAAGTCCCAACACCTGATTGAAAATCTTAAGATCTAACAGGTTTTCCATAAAAGTTGGAAGTGACTTGCTTGAAGTTATTTCTGGAAGCATACAGAGAAGGGAAAAAGAAGAAGAATGAGGCTGACCTGGTAGTTTTCTGACACTTTGGTGCTCCTGTGCAGTTAAGTAAAAGAGGCATATGTTTGGAAAGAGAGCTAAAGAACATAAAAACTTTATCCCAGCAGTAGCCACTCTACAGAGTGGTCAGCACAAATATGCGTGTGGATAAGCCACCTCTTATTTTTCAGACCAACGTGGTAACGCACACGTACCTCACCCGTTTTTAATCCAGAATAAGCAATCCTCAGAAATAATATTTAATCTTAAAATGGTTGTTATCACTGGAAGGGGGAGACAACTTTCTTCAGAACACATTCTTCTGGTTTTCCTGAACTGCAAATAAATACCTGTGGAGAGCAGTTGGATGCATTTTAAAGACACTGTCTTGCAGTGTGTTGGTCAACCCTCACTTCTCCGGCAGTTCCAGGCTTGACTTGTGTGCATATTTTGGAGAAGATTTTGGGTTGTCTGTCCTGTCAGTTTTGGCTGATTACATTTGTTGGACAGAAATTTTTTTTTTAATTTTTTTTTTTATTGAATACAAAAGAAAAAAGAAGAGATTATAAAAACATTGAACATGGTACATCGTCTTTGACATACATCTCCATCTTGTCAGTCCATACTATACATTTAAATATATACGATATATCTATATACAGCTGTACATTCCCAGTATCTACCTCTACTTATATCTCTTCTGTTGACCCCATTCTTTTTCCCCTCCATTTGTAGAATTTATTCCAGATTCGATAAAATTCTGTTTCTTCCTGATTTTTTAGTTTTTCAGTTATCTTGTCTAGTTCTGCGCAATCCATAATTTTCTTTATTAGTGCTTCCCCACTCGGTGCTTCCATTGCTTTCCACTTTTGAGCAAATAAAATCCTTGCCGCCGTTATCACGTGTACGATTAGATATGCGTCACCTTTATTTACGTTTTTCCCTCATATTCCTAATAATAATGTCTCAGGTTTATATTGGATGCTTTGCCTAGTCATTTCTGTTACCCATTCCCAGACCATAAGCCAGTACACCTGTGCTTCTCTACATGTCCACCATACATGAAAAAATGTGCCCTTTTCTTTTTTGCACTTCCAGAACATAAGTGAGTATCCATTATACATTTTGGCTAATCTGGCCGGAGGCAAATGCCATCTATAAACCATCTTATAGAGGTTTTCTTTATATGATGTCGCCAGTGTAATTTTATTATTTCGTTCCCATACTTGCTGCCATTGATCCATGTTTATATTATATCCTAAATCCATTGCCCATGTCACCATTGTTTCTTTAACCTGCTCCTCACATAGCTTATATTCCAACAAGTATTTATAAATATTTTTAATTTGTTTTTTCTCCGGGCCTAGCAGTATTTTATCTAACCCCGTGTCTTGTCTGTTAATTCCCCACTCTTGCTTATCCTTCATGTATCTTGCTTGTATCTGGAGATAAGACCACCATTCCAAGGCTATTCCTTGTTGTCTTAACTCTTGTTTTTGTTTTAAGTGACCTTCTTCGGACAGAATTTTTTTTTGATCTGAGGCAGGATGGATATAGCTCAAGAAAGGGCACTGGATAGCACAAGAAAAGATTAACGCAAAATGAAGTCTCACCCGCTCGAGTAACTCTGAAGTTTCCTTGGCTTGCACCTGGGGCCAACCTGTTCTGATCTTGAGCAGAAAATCAGACCCTTTCAGAGATGAGAGATCCCAGCCTGTAAATGCTTTCTAGAAGGAAGGACTCACTGGAGAAGGGCCTAATGCTGGGAAAGATGGAGGGCAATAGAAGAAGGGGACGACAGAGAATGGGGTGGCTGGATGGAGTCACTGAAGCAGTAGGCGTGAGCTTAAATGGACTCCAGAAGATGGTAGAGGACAGGAAGGCCTGGAGGAACGTTGTCCATGGGGTCGCGATGGGTCGGACACGACTTCGCAACTAACAACAAAGGAGCACAGTGGTTAGAGTGGTTGGAATGCTGAGTAGGAGGATAACAAGCCCATGTTCGAGATCCGGGAGCTGCTGTGGGGCGGGGTTGAGTTCTCGTTCCTCACTCCAGCTCCTGCTGGGGACATGAAAGGAGCCCCCTACCGGGCATCCCCAGGGCAATGGTGGTGCCACCGGCTAATCCTTTCAACCCAGAAGTGCCTCGGTGCTTCTGGCACAAGTGCAAAAATTATTTCTTTCCTTTACACCCATATGTACAGGGCTGGATGTTTGTTGTGCCTGTAACTGTACATATGTATCGTTACTTGTGTCAGAATTTGGATCCTCTATCTCCATCTCTGAGAGGTTGGAAACTAATAGTAATCCAGTATCTGAGGGGCTGCCACAAGGCAGAGGGGGCCAGGTTGTTCACCAAAGCACCAGAGGGCAGGACGAGAAACAATGGTTGGAAACTGATCAAAGAGAGAAGCAACCTGGAATTAAGGAGAAACTTCCTAACAGTGGGGACAATTAACCACTGGAACAGCTTTGCCTCCAGAAGTTGTGGGTGCTCCATCACTGGAGGTTTTAAAGAAGAGACTGGACAGTCACTTGTCTGAAATGGTAGGTGGTCTCCTGCTTGAGCAGGGGGCTGGACTAGAAGACCTCCAAGGTGCCTTCCAGCTCTATTCTGATTGGTTGAAATAGGCTCTTGGGTGCCTTGCAAAGGATTGGGAAGCGTTGCCAACCTTTTTCTGTCTTGGGGACGAAATGGCTGCCAAGGATTCAGTAGTTAACCATTGCTGTTGTTGGCTTCATGTAGAGTCAGTTGTGCCAGCTCTGAAACATTTTTCAGTTCTTACAACTGACAAAAAATTTGTTTTTTAATTAAGTGCCCAATATATCTCCTGGAAGAATGTCACTTGCTGCCCCAAAGGGATTGAAGTAAAGCTTCAGTTCCAAATATTTGATGTCTGATAAGGAAGATGACTCTTAGCTGTAAACAGAGCCCCTTCTGACAGATGCTGGTGTGCGTACATCTGGTTCTGGTGTGCAACTCGCCTTTTCCAAGGTTTGCTTACTTTGGCAATTGGGAACTTTATTTTATGAGCTTTTGTTTGAAAACAAGTGTTCCTTTGAGTCGTTACATGGCAGGCAACGATGTAGTGATACAAAACAACTCAGATCCAAACATTGCCAGTTTCAGCCAAAGGGTATTAAACCATCAGTGGGTCTTTAAATTTCAGCACCTTTTGCCAGATTCAAGCTTGGTTCAAGTTAAGAAGTGAAAAAGATGGTCAGGATGCTATGGCTGTACCAAAGATGGTGTTTCAGAGACAGGATTAGATTAATGTTGGTCTGGCTTGACTTGCATATCTTTGTTAGACAAAGAAATGAGAAAGAAACATGACAGATCTTACAGGTAAAACGAAATCATTTCTCCCCCCCCCCCAAGCTGAACGGAGAGTTATTTTGTAGTCTCTTGGATGGATCGTATGCAATATTCCCCTGAAATTAGACAGACAAATAATAATAATAATAATAATAATAATAATAATAATAATAATAATAATAATAATAATAATAATAATAATAATAATAATAATAATAATAATAATATGATAATAATGACAATAATGATAATAAAGTTGGAAGGGACCTTGGAGGTCATCTACTCCAACCCCCTGCTCAGGCAGGAAACCCTGTACCATTTCAGACAAATGGCTGTCCAGTCTCTTCTTTCCAGCATTGGAGCATTCACTGCTTCTGGAGGTAGGTTGTTCCACTGGTTAATTGTTCTAACTGTCAGGAAGTTTCTCCTTA